TGTGTTGTTGTGTGTTGTTGTGTGTTGTGGTGTGTTGTTGTGTGTTGTTGTGTGCGTGTGTTGTTGTGTGTTGTTGTGTGTTGTTGTGTGTTGTTGTGTGTTGTTGTGTGTTGTTGTGTGTTGTGGTGTGTTGTGGTGTGTTGTGGTGTGTTGATGTGTGTTGTGGTGTGTTGTTGTGTGTTGTTGTGTGTTGTTGTGTGTTGTTGTGTGTTGTTGTGTGTTGTTGTGTGTTGTTGTGTGTTGTTGTGTGTTGTGTGTGTGTTGTGTGTTTTGTGTGTTGTGTGTTGTGCGTTGTGCGTTGTGCGTTGTGCGTTGTGCATTGTGCGTTGTGCGTTGTGCATTGTGCGTTGTGTGTTGTTGTTGTTGTTGTTGTTGTTGTTGTTGTTGTTGTTGCTGTTGTTGTTGTTGTTGTTGTTGTTGTCGTCGTTGTTGTTGTTGTTGCTGTTGCCGTTGGTGTTGTTGTTGTCGGTGTTGGTGTTACCCCTGCAGCGTTTTTGCTCGGTTCCGTAGTGGCCGAAAATCGTCAAATCGGTGGTGTTTTCGCGTGTTTTTGCATCGCTCGGAGCAAAAAAACACCGTAAATACCAATGTTTTTGGCGGGTCGGAAGCCCAAAACCACGGTATTTACGATGTTTTTTGCCTCTGGTAGTAAAAAGCACGGTATTTACAGTGTTTTTTGGCCAGCACCTGGCAAAAACACTGGTATTTACGGAGGTTTCACCATGTAGCAAAATGTGGTTTCTTGATCCGAAAAGAACAAAAATACTGTAAATTACAATGTTTTGAGTCTGCTCTTAGGGTGCGTGGGAGGTGTGGGGGGGGGGGGGGGGGGGGTGCCATTGACGGTTGGCGTCGATTTTGCGGCACCACTTCTTGTGCATGTAGGCAGGGTGGAATGGGTTGAGGTGTCTCGATACATGTAGCTGTAACCTGCAACTCTCTTTATACTGGCAATACTGCGTAGGATTTATCTCCGGCGCCAAGCTCCACTTTCAGAGCATGGGTGCTTTGCATTGTGGCGCGCCTGGTCCATCGGCCTGTCCATCGGCCTCATCGGCCTCATCGGCTTCATCGGCTCCAGCGGCTCCATCGGCCTCATCGGCTCCATCGGCCTCATCGGCTCCAGCGGCTCCAGCGGCTCCATCGGCCTCATCGGCCTCATCGGCCTCATCGGCTCCAGCGGCTCCAGCGGCTCCGTCGGCCTCATCGGCCTCATCGGCTTCATCGGTCTCATCGGCCTCATCGGCTCCAGCGGCTCCATCGGCCTTATCGGCTCCATCGGCCTCATCGGCTCCAGCGGCTCCAGCGGCTCCATCGGCTCCAGCGGCTCCATCGGCCTCATCGGCTCATTTGCCTGATCGGCGCCAGCGGTTCCAGCGGCTTCATCGGCATGTCTTTCTGGAAAGCCTATTACGTCCCGATTCAGGCGGAATCAGTTGCGTCCATTTTGCGCCTATGGTTTGCTTGGCTGCCTTTTGATTAGTATTGGTCCATAGCCTCTTGGCTTGCGATATAGCCTCCAAGTGTCGAACGTACCGGGGTGGGGGGGGTACTAAAATGACTAGCAATCTCCTGAAGAATCAGGTAACGGGGCTGGCCGCCCTCCCCTTTACTTCGTAAAGTAAAACTCAAGGTAGCCCCTCTGGAGCTACCTTTCGTGACATAGGATATTTGATATATTTTATATAGATTTAGATACATATATATCTATGAATGATTTATCAATGGATATTTAGATAGATAAATAAATAGGATGTCCTATTCTTAATCTGTTTGGTGGTTTCAACCATCTTGAAAAATATGAAAGTCAGTTGGGATGATTATTCCCAATATATGGAAAAATAAAAGCCATGTTCCAAACCACCAACCAGATAAGTAGTCAGAGTCATAAGTCATAAATCCCAAATTTGTGATGTATATTCTGCATGAGGTTTCTAGCTGGGAAAATCATCTATAAATGCGCCATTTTCCATGCCTCTGGGTAAATTATAATATTTCACTAACCTGAATTAAGGCCATTTGGGGATGATTCCCCTTACTAACCATGATTCCCAGTGAGGTCGCAGTGAGGTCGTTATAATTTACCCAGATAGCTATGTTAAATAAGAGAGTAGGTGAAGAAAAAACCTCATAAATGGCCTCGACGGCGTCAGGGTCATAGTCCGTCTCCAGGAAGGAGCACAACATCGCCGTGCACCTCGGTGTCTTAAAATCCAGGGTGTCTTAAAATAGACCTAGGATTTCATAGGATTTCGTGGGATTTCATGGGAGTTTATGGGGATTTCGGGGATTTGATGTGGGATGTCAATGGATTTCATGGGATTTTCATGGGTTTTTTTTGAATTTGATGGATTCTATGGGATTTTGAGTGTATTTGATTTGGTTTTAGTTGTAATGCGGGTATTAATGGAATCCACTGTCAAATAGTGGTGTATTTCATGCGATTTAATAGTGTATAACTTCTATCAAAGCTGTCAATGCGATATGTCTTATGGAATTAATGGTATTGATGGTATCCATGGAATTTAAGGTATGCATGGGACTAAGTTGACTCACTATCCACTGCTGTTGTGGGGACTTATGAATCAATTCCCAAACATGTCAGGACACATAACTAATGTTAACTATTAAAATCTGGTGCATGGTCAAAACTTGGGGCCCACGGACTGACCCAAAGCCTGGAAGCTTAAACCACCGATCACCGAAGTATAGTTTTCACGAGTTCTTGGTGGGCTTAAATTTACAGTGCCAAAGCCCAAAACAAAGACGGTACCTGAAACCAAGCTGCAAAAACGTCTACTCCCCAAAATCCCAACCAAAATCATCATGAAGTGTTTGCACATAATCTATGGTCATGTTGGCGACAAAAAAGCCATGTTCAAACACCAAGTCTTGGTCCTTCAAGTCCAAAGCTAGGTTTCAAAAAAAAATGAGAAATTCTTCAGTTTTTTCTTTAGTTCAAATCTTCATCTTAAGTATTCCCTAAAGATAAAAAAGAAATCGCCTCTGGTTTCATGTACAGCAAATGCTGGCCGGCCTAGATGGCCCATGGACAACTCGATGATTAGGACCGCGATCATTTACCTATCATCTGACTAGATGAACAATGCCTTTAAAGCCTTTAAAATAGATGATGGCGACAACAAGCAGTGTTTTGTTTCTTTTTTACCTACCTATGATCTCTAGTTGTTTGACCAACAGATGATTTATAGCTAAATTATCTATAGATTTACTCTATGACTTTGCAAATTGTACTTGTCTATAGTTTTATCATCGCTAGATAATCTATATTATAAATATGATAATGGTCTATCAATATGATCAACAAAGCACATAGGTCTATAGGTTTTAGATAATCTATAGATTTACCATTGCGATTTACCCTCTGCTAATGACTAACAGTTCGCCATGTTTTTTCGATGGCCCTAATCGAAATAGATGCTTTACCGTTCTTAAAAGCATGGGCCATCGAAAAACCATGGCGAACTGTTAGTCATAACCAGAGGGTATATCCCATTAAATCCCATTAAACCACCATTAAACCACCATTGATTCCGGCTCAATGGATCGCTGCTGCGACTTTTCAGGCGATCCTCAGGCGCTCTTTGGCCCTCCTGGCGTGATCGTAGCACTGGGGACCTCAGGTACCACAAAAAAAAAGGGGATTGGACGTACCATCTGGTTATGACTAACATAGCCATGGTATAGATGGCCCATAGAAATAGATGGTTTACCTACTAAAAATGGTGGTTTTCCATGGCAAACTGTAAATAACCAGATGGTACCAAAATAGTGGTTTCACATGATTTCGGAGGTCGAACTTGGAATTCAATCCATAGAAACTCGGATTTGGGACTGAACCAAAGTTCACAGAGCTGGCTGTTGCTGTGTGAGATCAGCAAGGGGAGTTAGGGAGCTAGGTAATTATAGGTATTGAAGAGCTCAAAGATTTCATGACTACTCTCTGGCAAACTAACATAGCTATGAAAAATCACCATTTTTAGAGATAAATCATCTATAAATTTGGCATGTTCTATAGCTATGTTAGTTTACTGGAGGGTATTGCACCCCAACTGCTCAGTCCTGATTTCTTCGTCCCAATCCTCGTGCAGCACCACACCGGGCTTGAAGCTTTTGTTGATCTCACCTCGGGTCGCGGGGTTGGATGACTTCTGTGAGCATTCTGGATGTTGGGTGTATATGACACGTATATGTATATAAATACACACACAAACAGTGTATATATATATATTATCATATGTATATACATATATACCATATATATATATATTTATATATATATACATATATATATATATATATGCATATCATATATAAACGAGTAAGGCGTGTGATAAAAGGTATACATGACATAAGACATCATAAAACCATGGATTCCTGTATTTTTTCTGCGGCCACCTCATCGGCCCATGGTGCCCCTGAAAATCTGAGTGGCTCATTGTGGGGGATTCATGTGGGTAAAACCATGGTAAAACAATGTCATAACACACTATTTATGGGATTATTATTAGATTATTATATGATTATATGGTGGGATTATATCTATTTATGGGATTATATGATTATAGTATATGCTTATCATTATCAACCATCAAGCACCTATCATTTATACTATTTAACATGTGGATTATATATGATTATATGGTTGATGTTAACTATTGATCGTTAAAACCACCCCTATCATTGGGAATGACTGGGGGGATGGATTCACTTGACAGGGACTTTCACCCACAGCTTCTCATATTTGATATACGAAATATGCATAAATATGCACCATTTCTTGTTGGTTTCAGTAAATATGTGTATATATAATAATATAATATATATATACATATTCCATATCAAATATTCTATAATATATCACTATGATGGTTTTTCCCAAAAACCACATGTGCCATGGTCAAAACATGGTGGATGTATATGGTCAGTATGGTCCATCCATCCCATGCCATCGGAATCCAAGGGACTCATGGCATAGCTCCACTCCTGAAAGATGCCCAGCAAGTCCTCGCTACATGGCAACACCTCCTGGCAGAACGGAGGTAAAAAAATGGCTGGAGCCGAACGGGTCAAAGAACTGATCTGGGTAAATTATAATAATTCACTATATAACCTGAATTAAGGCCATTTGGGGATCATTTCCCTTACTAACCATGATTTCCAGTGAGGGAGAACAGTGAGGTCGTTATAATTTACCCAGACTGATGTGTTTCTTTGGTGACAAAAAGGGCATGACTTTGGTCAAGTTTGGCATCTTTGTTTTGCTTCAGCTTCGCGTCGCGGTTTTTCGGTCTTCGGTCTGCTAATTGTTGGACCTTTTTGGTTCTCATGTGATCATCCTCTATAGGGTTCCTTAAGGTCCTTGATCACATCCACTGTGGGTGTGTCTGAAAATAGCCCTCAAACCCGGCCAAATAAGAAACATCTGTAAAAATCCTTTGGGTTTATGGGTACCTTGGGTAGCCTATTTTCAGACAAATCCATTTTGCATTCTTGAAGTTGTATCATGTTGTCTCAGGATTGTTTACTCTCACCCGCCCGCCAGTTCTCGGCAACGTGAGTCACAAAAAAAACGCTCGTCCATGGGGCTTCGAGGATCAAGAGCGCCAAAGTATCCCAGAAATCTGGCGAAGATCGCAAATTCATCCATAAGAAATCCCAATTCAAATTTGCTGACCTGCGGCTCATCCCGGGAAGAGACACAGCAGTATCCACAGCGTTTTGGTGATATCTATATATATATATAAATCTGCTTGGTGGTTTACCCTACCCCTCTGAAAAATGATGGAGTGAAAGTCAGTTGGGATGATGACATTCCCAATATGATGGGAAAGTCATAATCCAGCCATGTTCCAAGGCACCAACATAATTAACTATGGAAAACCACCATATATTGTAGCTGGGTAAATCAACTATTTCTATGGGCCATTTTATGCCATTTTCCAATCAGCCATGTTTCGATCAAGAAATCCCAGCGAGAAAAACCACACCCCCACCTCGTCACCATCCACGGGGGGCCCTTGCAGCGGAACTGCGAAGCCGCACAGCGACGGCAAGCGAACCGAGGCATTGACCCGTGGGGGTGGCCAGGGGCGCAGCTGTTCGGGGGCGATAGGGCGCAAGGCACCTGGGATTCAGGGTAGAAAGGAGCTGAAGATGGCTGCTTTATGGGATTTTCATGGGATTTTGATTGGGATTGTGATGGGAGTTAATGGGATGTTGCTGGGATTTAAATGGGATTTCGTGGGGTTTGAGTTTGGTGGGATGCGAATTGAAAACTCGTGGATATTAAATGGACGTTCATGAGATTTAATGCGATGTTATGGGATTGAATGAAGTTTAATGGGATTTTAGTGGGGTTACGGGAATGTTGGTGGAATTCAATGGTTGTAAGATGTTAATTGGATAAAAAATGGGATTTGGATGGGTTATAACTAACCGACCTTGCCAACATACACACGGGGAGGACAGAAGTAACCCGACTCTGGGTGGCAGCAGGTTCTCTTGTGGCTGGGGGGATAGCCTGGATAGAAATAACCGTACTCATCCTACAAAAAATAGCCTATGTTGGTTCTGAATGAAATCTTTGAAATGTGTGTTTGTCAGAAAATCGAGCAGCCTAAAATCATCATGGTTCATCACAAATCATGATTCAATTCGTGCTGCTCAAATCCCCATTGATTTCCATTGAATTCCCATCCCAATTGGTTCGGTTCATAGTTCTGTTGAACAGCCTGGCTGTTGTGTGTCCACCATGTAAACGGGCAAACCCAATCCTCATTGAGACCGGGTTTGAACCAGCAACGCAAAAAGGTGTTTGACAAGAGGACAACAGGTGATGAAACAACGGCTGACTGTCATCCCAGTGAAAACTTGGAAGAACATGGATTATATAATCTGAAACTACCCAAATCCATCATAGTTAATCCTCATATTTCACATTCCCCATTAGCCCATTCTGAATGGCTATTTTGGGGGGTATATACCAACCCTCAAAAAGATAGACATGTTTCCACTATAGAATAGAGGATGTGTTCCTAATATTTTCTATTTGAGGGTTGGTATACCCCAATTTTTGGACAAGGGAAATCAATGAAAAATCCTCTGAAAAGGTATTCGGATGTCGCTTGGAAATGGCACCTGTGAGATCGAGCTCTGTCAGAGGCAGCTTGCTAAGTTCGGCAGCCATGATCTGGGACGGGAGCTGAGCCAAGCATGAAAGAAATCCAGTTGTCAACTAAAGTTCATCGGAATACGATCAACTAAACACTGTCATGTGTCATGTGTCATGTCTTTATCTTTTTAATCGCCAAGCAGCTGTTGTCGCAAAAGGACGAGTAAAACCAAGCAGCTGTTGACTCAAATCCACCATTCCAAGTCTTGGCTGCATTTCTGTGGCAAGAGTCGGACTAAAGTACACTCCGGTAAACATACAAAAAGCTATTGAAAATGGCCATAGAAATAGTTGATTTACCCATTAAAAATGGTGATGTTCCATAGTTATGTTAGTTTACCAGAGGGTAGACAGAATCAGATTACCGCATGACCTGCTGATCAACTGTTCACAGCAAATGGTGTCAGCAGGTTCTTCAAGAATGGCTGGGCACGGTGGTCGGATCACCTTTTTCTTGTGGCTGATTCTGCAGGCGAATGTGGGTGGGCCATTCTGCCACAAATATGGTTGAATTAATATCCCATTAATTCCCGATGGAATTGCCATGAAAATATGTGAAATAACATATATATATATATATAACAAGTCACCATAAATCCATATCAAGTCACCTTTGATTATCATATTGTACCATTGTGCCACCATTCTTGTTGATCAGCATCCCATCGTTAAAGCAAATCACCAACCACAAAATCAGGGCTGATTCTGGGCCGATTCCCATCACCCATCATCTCTGCAGAAAAACCTGCAGTTATACCAGTGAAGTCGTTATAAATGCAAGAGCTAACCAGTTATACCCGGAAAAAATGGATGAAAATTATGGGTAACCATTTATGGAACCATTTATGAAAAAAAAAACTAGGTTAGCTCTTAAATTACCAGAAAACATGTTAAAAATCGATGCTCCTGAAAATTTCGCATGGAACCAATCTTGCAAATGCAGAAAGTCCGTCGGCCGTGTTTCAAAGCCATCTACCGGTGTTATTCCCTCCTTTTGGATCGATGGCGTGAACATCAGAAACCATTACCATGGCAATTGGTGACGTTCCATGACACCATGTTTGATTCTCAAAAGCAACAACATATCTATCTCTATATATATATACGTATACATATATATAATTATATATATACGTATATATATATATATACACGTGTGTTTTTCAAACATACCAAACCCAAACTTAGAATATGTTCCTGTAAATTCCCGCTTAGTCAATGCTCCCATGAAAATGGTCACCTAATCTGAGATCTGAAATACCCTTCAAAGAAAATGTCGATGTTGAGCATTGCTATCTGTTCTATGTGTTCATCAAAATAACCACATAATTGCCAACATCCCATTCACCAACTTGATGAAAACATAGAACTAGATGATGTCAACGTGGACACAGAATTACTTTAACTACATGCCAAAAAACCGTAAATGTCATGCTCGCACATTCCTCCAGAGACTTGCCAACTTCACCCAACAGTTTTCCCCAAATTTCATGTGTTTGGGAAACGAAATATATTCGTTGCTCCTGGCCGCCTGGCTCCCCATTGTTCATAGATTTCACAACGCGAATATGTAGAAATATCGTCATATCGTAGATAGGTTTCCCAATCCAACGGGTTGTTATAATTTTGAAAAATGAGTATGCGTCCCAACAATCAACCAATTCACCACGGTATAACTCGCCTTTTTCCTCCATTACCCTTCACTACCATTATCAACCATTTAGAAGCCATTAATCACCAATATGAAAACCATTAGAAACCATTAATATCACTAGTAACCACTACTACAGTAAGTGCTATGAAAAACTCCTCACTAACCATATGTTTAACCACTATTGAATATTATATAACCATTACTAACCACAACTAACCACTATTAACAATTGCTAACCATTATTAACCCTTACTAAAGGAACCATCATATAACCATTGACTCACCATTCCCAAGCCGCTCCGCTCCGCCCGTTCCAGGCCTTCCAGCAGTTGACGCGTGCTTCACAGGCCTCAGCAGCCCAGTTTAGCGCTCGGCATTCCAAGAGCCTTGGCGACGAAGGCGGCGATCCACGAATTTCGGATGGGAAGATCATGGAGGTTTTTTTCTCTCTCAGCTATTGAACATGGCACAGAGAAATAGTTGATTTACTAATTTGGCAGTGTGTCAAAACCTTGTACCCCTGGTGAACATCAAAATAGCTGGTAAATGGATGTTCATTCCCCTAAAAATGGTATTAATAGGTATTGATCCATAGCCATTTACCCAACCTGGTTCTGTCAAAATAGCTATTGATAGCATGGTGGTTTAGTTCGTTATACTCTCTGGTAATGACTGTTACAGTTTGCTATTGATAGGATGGTGATTTACTTCGTGGATTTACCCATTGATAGCATGGTGATTTTCCATAGTTATGTAAACGTTTACCAGAGGGTACCCTCTCAAATATTGAAGCCATGGCACATAGAAATAGCTGATTTAGCGAACTACTGTAAACGTTTATCAGAGGGTATCTCATGGAGATACTGTGGATGGGCCAGCGAAATCCGAATCGCCAGTTTTTTATTTATGGTAGCGCCATCCCATGAAATCTATAGTGTTTCAACCATCCCAAATTGGTGGTTTATCGGATTTCTTCCATCCACAATATAACTCACCTTTATGGAGATTGAACGGGGATTAGATTTAACGGTGCTGTGCTGTGGGGATAAAGTTTTGAAATATCAATGGATAATATGGATACTTTACAACTGTGGTTTTTGATGGACAATAACCATCTGTAGCCAACTATAATTGGAATGTAATGAGGATATAATTGGGATAAAAGTAACTAACAATAGTGTACAATCATCATAATTGGGACGAACCAACTATAATTGACGGTGAATAATTTAACCTAAAAACCATGATTTAGAAGAGGACTTATACTTACTTGAGACCATTGAATGCGGGTGTTTGAATCTAGGGGGAAGGGATTATATGGGGATATAATGGGGGGTATGGTGTGTGTGTATATATATATGTATGATGATGAGTATCCAGCAACAAGTTTTTTTTCATATGGGATAAAACCATCCCGAATACTACATATCTTTGGTATAGGTGTTTAATTCATAGCCCCCCAGGCCCCCAAATGGTAAATGTTGGTAATTTTCAACATCTTTATTGTTGGGTTTACGTACTACTATAGGTATTTGTTTTCCAACATAAAAAAAACACATGCAAAGATGTCTAAAAAATCCATAACATGGAATTCGTCACTGCGAATGATCGGCAGGAATGCAAACCACCAAAGCACCGAATACTCCAATTGCTGGTTGGTTCTTCCTTCAAATGGGATGTTTACCGGGAGAAGTTGTGTAAATACCTATGGGATCCTGGAATAAGATCGGCCGCCAGGGCGGGCACAGATTTGAATCCCAGGATTTCTTCCACTTCAGATTCCCACTCGTCTTGTCTGCTAAACCCACTAGTCCGGTTTCTTAAAAACCAAAGAATCCAATCAAATCATGGGAAAATCGAATGGAACTACCACGTTTTTCTTCAAGCCTTGGATTTTGAGGAGTCCCCAGCAAATCAGACAGACCCACATGTATGTGTATACACATGTGTATATATATATAAGATTATATATGCACATATGTTACATATATTGGAGTGCAGTAATAGATATGTCTATGAATACATGCATATACATACGTGTGCATATACTGTATGTATATATGCACATACCTGTAGATACATGTATGAATATGTAAAGGTAATATATATATATAATTAATTATATATATATATTGATTTGACATGGCCATGGCATGGACAATCACAATTTTTAAAATGCAAAATCCTCTACAAACGGGTCATGTTCCATAGCTATGTGTTAAAAGCGAAAAAAACAAATGGTATTTGTTGAGATACCTCAACCCTCCAAACTGAATATGGTTTCATCCTAGGTCCTAAAGATTGGTGTTTCCTAAGGTACAGTATCCCACACAAGGATTTCCCCATTAAAAGTGAACAGCAACTTGGGTGATAACTTGGGCATTCCCTCTCCTAGTCATAGAGTAGGTAGTTCTGTGTCCATTATATCCAAATTGCCTGCATTCCCATGCTCCCGCTATCCATTCATTATATCCCTCCCCACTGTCCCCATTATACCGCCATGTTCCCATTGTGTTCCCACTATATCCCCAATTTTCCCACGCTTTTTCCATGTGTCCATTGTATTCCTTAAAATGGTTATACCTCCAAAAGGCTTCCCCACTGATCGTGTTCAGCCAAACCCCCATTGGGAGAGTCAGTTTTGGGTTGGATTATCCCATGATATCACCATGATTGTTTTGTATCTAGAGTTGTGTTGCTGGAAAATTTCGCTTAAAACAGCATGTGTACCAATTTTCTTAGGGTTGGTAGGTCATCCCCTACAGTAATTTATCTCAACGTTTCCACATTATGGTTGGCTATATCCCCATTGTACCTACACTATGTCCATATTGTCATGATTTTTGGTCTTGGTTGAATGCCTGTATCAGCCCAACAATCATCCCAACAATCACCTCAAAAGTAATGAAGCAATCAAAGTTTTCCCATAGATTTTGCTTTTGGGTCATACTGATGAATTATCGATTAATAAGTACTATTGATTTAAGGGATGGTAAACCATTCATACACTAATCACAAATCTCAATAATAGTAATATTATATAATGGTGTATTACTGGTTCATTCTAAATGGATTATATTATTAGTTCGTTATTGACTTTCCCTACGGTTAATTATTGATTTTGAATCATAAACTATGCTCAAATATCATATGTCCCAAAATACACGAACCATTGTATCAATGTTATTCAAACAATTAATGATGAATACAATGTCAAGTTAGGATTTTGAAAATCTACTAGGGAGTAATCAATCACCAACCATTGACCCGTGTATGGAAAACTATTGACCATAAATCATAGTCAATGTTTACCTGAAAATTTCCATTCGTTTATTAATTCATCACGATTTCTCTTGGAAACTTCACCTACCCTCTGGTAATTTGTTACATAGCTATTGAAAATACCACATAATAGTTGATTTACCTATTCAAAATGGTGGATCATGGTGATGTTCTATAGATTTTCTATGGAAAATCACCATTTTTCATGGGAAAACTTAGATTTTCTATGGAAAATCACCATTTTTCATGGGAAAACTTAGATTTTCTATGGGAAAATCACCATTTTTCATGGGAAAACTCACGATTTCTATGGCCAAAAATGGCCATTTTCAGAGGCACACGGTCTGCGGCAGCCGCAGCCTGCGGAGCTGGCGGAGCGTCCGCGAAACGTGCTGAGCCAAGTCGTGGGCCCCGCCTGCGGGGAAGATATCACCAGTTATGGCAAGGTTAACTGGTGGGATATACCATGGTTAATACCAGTAATAGATGTTTTTCTATAGATATTATGGTTTATACTACTTTTATACCATGGATAATGATGATTAAACATGGTGAATTAACATGGTGTTGGCTATAAACGGCAATGAGTAGAGGCTGCTATTGGATGGTTAATGGTGATGAATAGTGAATTAATGGGTGATTAATGGTGATTAATGGTGATTAATGGTGATTAATTATCACCAGCTCTGGGAAAAAACATGGTAAAATGGTGATGAATGGTGATTTAATGATGGCTAATTACGAACTATATACCATGGATATCCATATTAACATCTATTACCGGTTGGTGGTTTCAACCTACCCCTCTGAAAAATGATGGAGTTAAAGTCAGTTGGGATGATGATGTTCTGGTTGGTGGTTTTAACCATCTTGAAAAAATATGAGTTCGTCAATGGGAAGGATTATCCCATATATTATGGAAAATAAGCCAAATCTTTGAAACCACCAACCAGTATATGTATATATATATATATAGTTCGTATATGTTAATGGCAATGTTATATATATATATATAGAATGGCAATGTTACAATTTAAAGAACTATAGTTAGTATAATGGGAAATTCATATAAAGCACTATGTATATATAGTTAGTATAATGGCAAATTGATAGTTAAGCTGTTATGATTCAGCAATGTGAGCTATAATTCGGTGAAATTATGGTGTTTATATCATATGGATATGAGTGAACAATTAAGCCTTATGGGACCACACATCTTGAATGTTTCATATTAATAATCTAATTTTGTTGGCGAACTTGGAAAAAGCCTGATGGCAATGGTATAAACAATTACCAATGTGGAACTAGATTGTTTTTTTGACGCACGTAACTTGGTTAACTTGCTTAAGTGGGGTCTATCAGGAAAATAACATAAAATAACGACGACTAATCAAAAATGTGTATAACTAATCTAATATCATTCATTAATATGGTTTTGCCTAATTTTAACACAATATACTAACACAATGCTTTAATGGGATTTGGAAACCAACTTATAACTGGGGTGCCTGACCTTGAAGTGAAAATATATGCGGTTTTTCTCCGTGCATATTTTTGGACAATTGGGAAATAATGGGGATGCGAAAAATGGATATATGATGGGGATGTAAGTGTGTTTTTTTTAATGCGGGTATCATTGGATAGTGGAAGTACATAACGACTTTATATTGAAGGAATAATGGGGACATCATGGGAAAATAGTTGGGAACCAAAAATAATGGAAATATTACGGGAACATGGGGATACAATTGTGACATAATCGGAACATGGGGATATCGTGGGAAATGAATGGAAATGGGATAGCATTCTTCAAAATGCTGATAACATAGGAAAATCATGGAACATCTGGATATAACAGAACAGAATAATCAGTACATGATATACCATCTGGTAATTTAACATAGCCATGCAAAGTCACCATTTATAGTGACATGTCCCATGAAAAGATGGTGATTTTCCATAGTTATGTGACAGTTTACCAGAGGGTAATGGAAAGTGCGAGGTCATGGGAAATGGTGATGCGCTGGTAAGATGTGGTTCTCAGCTGCTCCTCGTTTTTCAACGAGTCGGACTACTATGAAGTCTACAACACCCCATCAGATAAACCTCAAAAACCTTGTGTTGCCTCATCTATCACTATCCTAATGTCCAAGGTATAAAAATGACTCCTTCAATAACATGATGCTAAAGCCAATATTCCTGCCCAATAAGCTTTGCAAAATTCCTATTAAAGAAACGCAGGATTCAGAACAAACTTGCACCGTTCCGTTCTTACAACATATATATATATGTTTGATTCACAAGTGAAGTATTCTGTACGATGCTTCCTTAAAGAAGTAGTGTCCATGCAAAATATGGAATGACTTCCTTCAAAATACCAAGTCTTTCTTGTACAAATGGAACGGCATTCTTTCGAACAAAGAAATCTCACCCACACAACAATCCTTTGAACAGCGCAGTATGCACTACACAGCGCACCGTTCCTTGAAAAGGAACACCTTCTCTTAAAGAAGAGCCTTTTGCTTGCAAACAAATGCAAATGTTCGCAAGCTTTGAAAGATGTAGTATCCCTTGTGACGAGGTCTAGCCTTTGTTTATTTTTACAGGATATCAACATTATCAAAGGATCAACGTCATTGCTTACTATAGTTTATAATACAGGGTGTAATATGCAATGTTTTGTTCAACCATATGCTTCTTGTTTCGTGAAGGAAATAAGGAGTGCGCAAAACGCATTCTTAATAGAGGACCGTGGAAGGCCATGCTCTATAAAAACGAGTATTTCGTATATAAACAGTATATAGACATATTATACTATAAGATTAATGTTCCATTGTCCTGAGAGATTGTTTATATAGTTTGCGGAAAACAAATGGTTCAGTGGAAGTTAAGCAACCTTGCACTTCCTTGTCAAGAAAAGAACATTGGTTCCAAGAAATGGTACCTCTTCAAAAACAAGCTCCTTGATAGGACTAGTGCACATTCGACTCTACGAATGTATATATATATATACGTGTGCATGTGTGTGTGTATGTGTGTGTATTGTGTCAAGACCTTGCTGCGCTTATTGAATGGAAAAGTGCATTTATCACGGATATGCTTGATTTGTTACAGAAATAAATACTGTTTTGTAGCGTACGTCCAACAGGAACATTGCACCTTTTACAGAGACGTGCTGCATGATTTCTATGAATATTACTGTATTACTTATCTACAGTACAAGATAATTACAGTACACTCCCCAGAAAAGAAAATAATAACATCTGTTCAAAAAAAACAATGTAGTTAAGAAGGAACGTGGCACTTGTAGAAAAAAACGACAATTCTCTTGAACAGAAAACTCATTCTCAAAAGAAGGAACATTGTATCTCTGTATACTGCATATTTTGCAAACATATTGGCTCTGAAACATAGATAAGTGTTTAAAACAAAATCGAGTTTGCTGACAAGAAACCAAAAGAAGCGAGAAAACAAAAGGACAGCTCCCAATATTTTTGCTGATCGAAAAATTAAGCTCCAATTTGATTTACCCTCTGGTAATCAAACACGGCAATGGAAAATCCAACATCTGTAATATTGATGATTTTCCCACTCAAACCTCCATGTGTAGGGGAGTTACCATTGCCATGTCTGATTACCACAGGCTACATCTTTTTGGTAAACATTTCCACGGGCTCCAACTTTGGAACCACATTCCCACATGTTCCATGTTCCCTCTATCTACATTACATATATATATATATAATTCTATAATATATACATATATATATATATATATCATTATGTATTCCCATCCAAAAGCACGTCAAAAAATCCTTGGGATACCTTGGCTTATCCACCACATTTCTGTCACAGCCAGCTGTCCTGGGAGACAAATGAGCTTCGGAAGCTCCAGAACTCGAAGCTCCTCAGCAAGTGGCACGCGCCCATGTGGAGATGGCGGTTTCTTTCAGATAGCATCCCCCACTATGGGTTATAGTTACTACGGGATACATATATATATATATATTATATATATATATATATAAATGGGTTATAACTAAGGTTACTATCCAATTACTCTCCAGTTACATCCAGTACGATGATCCTCTAAGTATCATATGGGGTAACCCCATGACTTCGGACACCTCCATATGGAAACATGGGATATAATAAATAAGCAGGTATAACTGACTAGCAAAAGTATACGTACAACTTTTATACGTCATATGGAAACTTGGGACATTAGTTATATTGTTGTATACGTCATATGGAAACTTGGGACATTTTTATATCTTAGGATATACCCTCCGGTAATTTAACATAGCTATGGAAAATCACCATTTTTAATGGGAAAACTCACTATAAATGGCCATGCTCAATAGCTATGTTAAATTACCAGAGGGTAACTAGCTAGCAAAAGTTCATAATGGGGATTGATCGTGACTAACCAACTATCAGCGAATGAATCCCTTCCCCCGGACAACACTGGGATATACTGGGATATGAAATTAATTGCAATGGGGATATATAAAAGTTAACTGGATGTGTATACAGTATATATATATGTATACAATTACATAACCAACTATACTTGGTATCTATCTATATACTGTATATATATATATGCAAATGTTATATATATAAGTCAGTGTAGGTATATATATATATTATATATATAAAGACTTACATGAATATATATTATACTATATATATACACATGCCAAGTTGGATTAACCCCATGCCATCCGAATCCACAAATCATGGGCATATAAATCCTATTGATTCTTTGATGATTATCCCCCACCATGGGGAGTACATAAACAATCACTTATATTATATATAATATATGAAACATATATTTTCTCTTTTGACCATGGCACATACGTTCTATCAATGGAATTGTACCAAATTTATCCAAATTTGGTCTGGTACCAACATTTTCGGGAACATCCCATCCCAGGTTCCCAGTCGGAAATGCCTTACCTTTGACGGAACTACCTTACCGATGGAGAAGGTGTTGAACCACACAGCCACAAATCACTGGTTGGTGGCTGACCTACCCCTCTGAAAAATATGAGTTCGTCAGTTGGGATGATGACATTCCCAATATATGGAAAAATAAAAAATGTTCCAAACCACCAACCAGATGATCTTTGCTTCCATCCCTTTTGCATGACTTGCTGAAACATCTTCTGAAAAAGGACTGGGTGAATTGAGCAGTGATACCGCGATTTGGAATCGGTGGCCAGGCTACCTTACCAGTATATACCAAGTCAAAGAAACGAAGACCAACGGAAAAGTGCATACCCTCCGGTGTCATCAAACATGGCTGGGAAAGCCCCAAACCAAATGAGCATTTAAATTCGAAAGACATCTACGAATACATGACTCTTGGGGGTTTTCAATTGCCATGTCTGATTACCATGTCAGATAAGTAAGCCAAGAATCTGGAAGCATACTCAACAAGTTGCAGAATTTGCGGTAGTCTGCAGCGAAGTCAGAAGCCAAGTCATGCTAATTCCATTCCCAGAGAATCCATGTCAATTTCATCCCCCCCAGTAAACACCCCCGAAAATTACATGGAACCAGTAGGGCATGACATGTCAAAAAAAACGGAACAACACCATTAAGATTAAGGGGATGTTCAACATGAATGGGGAGATGGGACTCAATATACCAATTAACTATATCATTAACTATAATTAACCATTATTGACAGCTATTAATTACTTGTTAATTATAGTTGATGATACGTAAATGTTATAATTAAACCATTACGATAATTATTATTGACAGCAATTACTTATCATTACCCTCTGGTAAACTAACATAGCTATTGAAAATGACCATTTATAGTGAGTTTTCCCATTAAAAAATGGTGATTTTCCATAGTTATGTTAGTTTACCAGAGGGTAAGTGCCATTAAATCCCATTAAATCCCATTAAACCACCATTTTCCTATGGTTTTCCTATGGTTTTCCTATGGTTTTCCTATGTTACTCGTGGGTTTTTGTCAAATTGGGTCGCCTCCGGACACCTGACCCTTAGCCAGACCCCCTGGTGGTGGACTGGAGGTTTTAGAGGATTGCCGAAAAAAACATGGTGATCTGCCAGTCTGCGAACTGTTAAATTACCGGGTGATGGAGCGTGACCATATCCATACTAGTCCAATATATATATATATATATGATAATATATATATGTGTATATATATATATATGATTAAAAAAATATGTATATATATATAAATAATGATATATATATATATATGTATATATAATGATATATATATATATATCATTAATATATATATATATTCCAATATGCACAGTGTATCGCCGTTTTTGCATGCAATCAAACACTAATTGTCTTGCTGGTTGTATCATTCATGCTTCCATCAAATGCTCAAAATGGTGACGCACAAATAGCCCAAAACAAATCGTCAACATCAAGGAACATCAACGAACATTCATGGCCAATCTCATGGCCAATTTCATTCGCAAAACACACCGCCAGTAAGTTGTCAGACGCATCCATCCCCAGCAGGTTCCCGCCAGTTGTCGCACACAGTGGATCCAGTTGAGCTGGACATGGATGATGATCCCCAATTGCTCAGTTGTTTGGTTTTTTTTCCGGTAACATCCCGTAGCTTCCCCATTACCCTCTGGTGATTTAACATAGCTATTGAAAATGGCCATTTATAGTGAGTTTTCCCATTAAAAATGGTGATTTTCAATAGTTATGTTAGTTTACCAGAGGGTACATACCCAAGTAGAGTACAGGACCCATCCAGGGTAAAAATCCGGATTTTGTTGGTTATATCCCATCTTTGGAGGTTCCCCAGTTCTCATCCATAGATGGATTTTCCCTTAACCATCCAGCTATTGGGTACCCCCATTTTAGGAAACCCCCTATTTATTGTTGGTTATATATTACATTCAACATCCCCACTGGATTATTTTGAATACATGTGGATAGATGATGATTGTTCACCAGCCCGAAAAGTTCGTCAGTGTTTCCTTACCAACCATGAGATCATTGGTATTGGCATTTATCTCATTAAACATCCCCATGAAATTGATGATCACAAATCAATCAGTTAGATCTAAGTCCATGATCTAGTGAAGTCACAATGTACATATATATATATGTATATATATACACATACTCAGGAAATGTCCGCAAACCAGCCACAATCATCACCCAAACAGTATCAGTTAATCATTTGTATTAAAAGTGACAATGGTAACTATATGTAATTATATACAATTAGATATTCCCTCTTAATCCCATGACATATCCATTTTCACTTGAATTTGCCTGACGATAGGGTACCCAATTATCTGATTTGATTTGTCATAGTTTTCCCGATTTGATTGACCATGAATTTGGGCATACCAAAAGTTACAGTAGGCACTCCCAAGCAGATTGCTTTCTCCTAAAGATAGACAACATCTGTGGTCCCATGAGATTTTGACCTACAGCGTATAGACAAAAATTCAGGGAAAAATTCCATTCCATCCATTGATTAACAAACATGTTCCCTATGAAAAGAACTAAATTATGGATATTATATATATATGTATAACTTACTGTATAACCCATTTTCAGATACACCCAATCGACCATCATCAGTTATATCCACGTCAAAATCCCCATATTTTGATGCTTGGGATCCCTATGAAATGACCATATAATCCACCAATCATCAACCAATATGTTTTCGTCCCATTTAATCTGGTTGGTGGCTGACCTACCCCTCTGAAAAATATGAGTTCGTCAGTTGGGATGATGACATTCCCAATATGATGGAAAGTCATAAAAGCCATGTTCCAAACCATCAACCAGTAATTTGTCTTAAAGTTCAGTTATAATAAAACATGGGGGGTTTTCACCATTTTTCCAAAGAATCATTTGGAAGAAGTCATGTTTTATGACGGACCTTTGACATGGTCCAAATAACCAAATAACCATTTAGATCCATTTCTGGTTGGCGGTTTCAATCCCTCTGAAAAATATGATTTCGTCAGTTGGGATGATGACATTCCCAATATGATGGAAAGTCATAAAAGCCATGTTCCAAACCATCAACCAGTAATTTGTCTTAAAGTTCAGTTATAATAAAACATGGGGGGTTTTCACCATTTTTCCAAAGAATCATTTGGAAGAAGTCATGTTTTATGACGGACCTTTGACATGGTCCAAATAACCAAATAACCATTTAGATCCATTTCTGGTTGGCGGTTTCAATCCCTCTGAAAAATATGATTTCGTCAGTTGGGATGATGACATTCCCAATATATGGAAAACAAAAGCCATGTTCCAAACCACCAACCAGTTATTTGTCTTAAAGTTCAGTTATAATAAAACATGGGGTGTGTTCACAATTTTTCCAAAGAATCATTTGGAAGAAGCCATGTTTTATGACGGACCTTTGACATGGTCCAAAAAACCAATAACCATTTAGATCCATTTCTGGTTGGCGGTTTCAATCCCTCTGAAAAATATGATTTCGTCAGTTGGGATGATGACATTCCCAATATATGGAAAAACAAAAGCCATGTTCCAAACTACCAACATAACTATGGAAAACCACCATGTTGTAAATGGGTAAATCAACTATTTCTATGGGCCATGTTCCATAGCTATTTTGACATAACCAGAGGGTAGTATCATTTAGTTAGTTGCAGCTTCAACCATTCGACATGGTGCACCGGATCAGTTCCCAAGACCCCAAGAGGCCTATGCTCTTCTCCGCGACCAAGAGATCCTCCACACGCAGCTCCTGACGCCAAGCGCCGCGAAGCGGCGAAGCGGCGAAGCGCAGCGCGGATACCCCGAGTGAACTGACCCGATGTGGTTCTTACCATGGTCAAAAAGTTGGATGTAACCATTGAAACATAGGGATTTTCTATGGAGTTATGTGGTTTTGTATGGATTCATATGTTTATTTGTGTTTTTTTACGAGTATATGGATTTATATAAATATGAGTGGATGAATGGGATTATATGAATGGGGACAGATAACCAACCCATATTGGAGGATGGTCATCAATTGTTCCCATATGGTCACGGATGGTCAATTGTTTCATTGTGATTCAAATCGTGGGATGGATGACCATGGCACATTAATAATGGTTATACATAAGGCATAATGCCATTATTTGGATGCATATATACATATGCATGTATAGTTGGTTTTAGATGCTCAATATGGTTGTAAATCATGTATATATATATTATATATATACACAGTATGGGAAAATTACCATCTATAGCCCACTTTAGTTACTAGTTGGAATATAATGGTGATAGAATGGGTTATAATAGTATATAATAGTGGGATACAACAGGGATAAAACTAACCATACTGGGGATATAGAGTGGATATGGGATCTATGGGATATACTTACTACGGGATTACTTAAGCAACTACAGTTCAAGCATAATATGTATGACCTTATCTCATGTGATATGGTAGTGAGTCATAGTTGGGAATGTATGTCTAACCAGCTAATGGGGTAAACCCAATCCCCTAAACCTACAGTTTGTGGACGGTTCTTATCATAGCGGTGATATTGGGGATGATTTATAACTCGGTTTACCACATTGTTCTTGGTGGGAATATGATTTCGGAGATATGTAAGCACATCTGTTTGGATTATGTATGTGTATGTATATGTATGCACATTTACAACATGGTACAATCAGATACAATCGGGATATTTCATGCGAGCCATAACCAACATTTTTTGGGGTATATGGTACAATTTGAGATATACAAACAAGTGTGTAAGTGTCATGGAAATTGATTGGGAAATAGTGAGTGATAAACCATGCAATGGGCTGGGAGCTGAGGGTATTGCATTTTGAGACCCCAGAAAAATGACCGAGCTACACGGCTAAACCTACTCACCCGTACATCAACCACCTTGCATCAACCATTAAAGGGCAAGTTCAAAGAACCACCCAAATGGGACTTTAACCCAAAAAAAGAAAGAATCGGTCAGTTTGTGACAAATCAAGATGGCTAGGTTCTGCTAACTTTGCTTTTATTGGCGAGCAGGTTTCTGGCTTCGCCCATCCTGTCCTCCAAAGACGCTGCGAATAGGTCCAGGGAAAGTTCAGGAAGCATCTGAGAAGATCCAAAGATCGGCTGGATAGGAATCGAAAAAATCGTGGGAACATCTGATAGGAAATAATCTGGAAATAATTGGTTTTTACCATCAAATATAGAGTTGTCTAGCTAAGAAAAAATCCCTCAACCATCCTCAAACCAATCCAATGATACAGGAAACCAAGGTTTTTACAAGTAAAAATTGGCTTTCCTGGGGGTTCAAGTAGTGGAAATTGGCACGGGGATCTATATTCCCCTGTATTCCTAATCGAACCACATCCACGTTGAACATCCACGTTGAACATCCACGTTGAACCAACTCCTTGTCAAGGCCCAAGCATATGTTAATTGATCTTCATCGTAAACATAACTTCTATGAAACGTGGACAACTTCTCTGAATTCGATGACAAGTTCTCAATTGCTGCAAAAAAAAAACTCTTAATCAGACTATACCTATATATATATACTATATCATATATTATACCTATATATATATATACTGCGTATATAAATCCAGAAAAAATCTCAGCCAGTTTCCCTTTTCACATCGCAGTTTCTGATCTTCCCCTGGTTCCCTTCGCGGCCTCGCTGCTGATTTCCAAGCGCCGTAGCTCCAGTGGTCGTCCTGCAAGGCTCTGGCACTTCTGCAGCCGCGCTATCATCCTGGGGGCGCGAAAAACAGATGTGGATTGGAACAAAACATGTGGAAAACATGATGCAATTATCTATCAGTATCTATCAATAAAAATCTATCATTATCTATGATTATCTATCATGATCTATCATGTTCAATCATTAAAAATCATTTTCAATCATTATCTATCATGTTCAATCATTATCTATGATTATCTATCATTATCTATCATGTTCAATTATTATCTATCATGTTCAATCATTCTCTATCATGTTCAATCATTATCTATCATGTTCAATCATTATCTATCATTTTCAATCATTATCTATCATGTTCAATCATTATCTATCATGTTCAATCGTTATCTATCATGTTCAATCATTATCTATCATGTTCAATCATTATCTATATATCATGTTCAATCATTATCTATCATGTTCAATCATTATCTATCATGTTCAATCATTATCTATCATGTTCAATCATTATCTATCATGTTCAATCATCATCTATCATGTTCAATCATTATCTATCATGTTCAATCATTATCCATCATGTTCAATCATTATCCATCATGTTCAATCATTATCTATCATTCTCAATCATTATCTATCATGTTCAATCATTATATATCATGTTCAATCATTATCTATCATGTTCAATCATTATCTATCATATTCAATCATTATCTATCATGTTCAATCATTATCTATCATGTTCAATCATTATCTATCATGTTCAATCATTATCTATCATGTTCAATCATTATCTATCATGTTCAATCATTATCTATCATTTTCAGTCATTATCCATCATGTTCAATCATTATCTATCATGTTCAATCATTATCTATCATTTTCAATCATTATCCATCATGTTCAATCATTATCTATCATTGTTCAATCATTATCTATCATTATCTATGATTATCTATCATTATCTATGATTATCTATATACCAGTATCTATGTTTATCTATGATTATCTATCATCTATCATGATCTATAATTCTCTGTTCATCTATCCTATCTGGTTGGTGGCTGACCTACCCCTCTGAAAAATATATGAAAGTCAGATTGGATCATCATCCCAACTATTGGGGAAAATAACAAAACATGTTCCAAACCACCAACCAGTGATGCAATGTTCAACCAGACATTGGACTACCCCATGTTCGAGGCTTGACCCCATACCTGGTCTTAAATATTGACCCAAATCCCCGGTTGAACCCCAATTGGATATATTGGATATATTGGATATCCTTTGTGCCAAGTCTAATCACTGAAAACTCGCTGTATCAGGAATGTTCAGTTTATGGGTCCAAAATCATCCCTCTATCACTAGGTAGATTAATAAAACCTATTTCATAAGTTAAGTCACCAATCGGTTGGTTAATGAAACTCCCCATAATTCTGGATTTTGACGTCATCCCCAATACATTTTGGGCAATAACATCCCCCCGGATCCATATCTATAATCAACCATCCGACTGAACTAATTCCCTATTGTATCTGAGTTGAATCACTCAAAATCACGCCAGTTATCACTCAACATCCCTACATAATCCCCAGATAAACCATAGGCAGGTTGATAGCCCCCATCCTTTACCAAACACTTAACCGTTCCCAACAGGAGCTCCCCGTTGTTTTCCGTCGCCAGCTCCTGATCCGCACGTTGCGCCACAAGCGTCGCACGCCCAGCTGCTGCGCAAGGCTGCCGCTGCTGCTGCGCAAACGGGACGCCTCTGCACATCGATGGGTGGGATGGGTGCACAGACTAGCCACCCCGTCATCGAGTGGCAAAACAAGCAAAAAATCCGTGCCAGCCATGGCCACTCTACTGAAGAGTTACTGCCTTGGGCAAAGATGCCACGACTGACCAAGGATGAAGCTTGGGTGGGATGGGTCACAAGCCTCGGATGGTACCCGATGGGTCATTGTGAATGGTGAATGGGGAAGAACCTATCTGATATGGTCATGAAGCCGAACCCAAGACCACCCAAAAAATGGTAAGATGGGGTAAGAAAAAAACAATATGTTTAAGAGTACTTGGAAGGTCTAGGTATATAGTTCTTAGAAGTTGTATATGTACATTACATCGTAACTGTTAGTTGATAAAGACTAAGTCTATAAAATAGGATCATGAATCATGATTATAAGTAAATACATGAATCAGTGATCGTAGTAGTATAAAGCATAAGTTAACATAGTATAACACTTGTGTTCTAAAGGATGGGATAGGAGATATTTTCAACATTTTTTATTAATGAACCAGATGTAGCGGAATCTGGGGACCTTAGACCTTATGTGAGCCATTAAGAATACCCTTATTTCATCTCATTATATCGGTTGATTAATAGGTTTCGCTACCATGGGTTGTCATAATCCCCATTAAACGGGTACGTAGTATAATCATGTATAATTCCCTTCAATAAACAATCCTCAGTGCTATTTATGAGCTCATGTGAATTCCAAAGCTTCTTTGGGCATGTTGGGATGATGTCCCTCCGCATCAAAAACTATGGGGACTGGTGGCCAAGAAAGGTCGCGAGTTCTGTGTGCCCAAAGACTTACTGATGCGTTTTACGCAGGGAATTTTCGGGAATGATCCACAATAACTATCAATAATCATCCCAGCAACCCCCAGCAACCCATCCATTCCCTACGTTTCGCACCCCGGAGACTCGTCAAAACCCTGGCTGAAAAAAAATCACCACTACCAGTAACTACCATGACTGGGGACTGGTGGCCAATCCCCATCAAAATGCTGATGACGTGGCTTTGGGGAGGCTTTACCACATCATTCCAAAGGATCTCCCCAGAAAACACTGATCTAACATGTAAACATAATCATATACAGATACAAATCAGTTCAAATCATCCTAATTGAAAAAGATTTAGGAGATACCCCAGAGTAAACCAACTTTTTGATGTGGAAAACCCACATCTAAAAGTAGACTATTTTCCTAGGCTTTCCCCTGGTACATGGATCTACCACCGGCCATTTTTGTTCGTGAAAAAATGGCAAATCATTCGCAATCTGAAATAGGTACCCTCTGGTAAACTGTCACATAACTACGGAAAATCACCATGCTATGAATGGGTATATCAACTATAAATCACCATGTTCAATAGCTTTTTGTTAGTCATAACCAGAGGGTAGTATAAAGCATCAATCCATGGTGGATGATTCAGATTTTCATCCCGTCGCCCCATATCAAAAACACCCCCAGTTTTTCTGGTGTCTTTACGATGATCCCAAAAAAAAAAAACACCAAGAAAATCCCCCACATGTTTTTTTGTCCCATGAAAATATCCCACACATTTATCCCATGAATATCCCATGAATTACCATAAATAGGTAGGTATAAACATCTGTATAAACCTCCATCGTACCATAAATAGCTGAATAAGAACCTAACATAACCTACCTATGGGTTGTTTTCCTGTTGCTTTACCAAAAGGAGCTCCAAAAAAAAAACGAAAAACAACGAAACTGCCGCCTCCTCCGCCGTCAACGCGTCCAGCAGCTCCGGGAGAAGCACGGAGCTCACCTGGGCAAAAACCAGTTCCATGGCTATATGTTATGCTATTTACCCTCTGGTAATTTAACATAGCTATTGAAAATGGCCAGTTATAGTGGATTTTCCCATTAAAAGCATGGTGATTTTCCATAGTTATGTGACAGTTTACCAGAGGGTATATGGGGGTTTCCTACAATGGAGCTAGCCATATTTTTGGATGGCTGATTAGAAAGCCGAGATGGATGATTTGGGGGTTCCCCTATTGGAAACTACCATATGGGGATGGTGTCAATAGATGTGGGGATGGGTCAAATCCAATAGTACCCCTGTAGTTCACATCAAAATAACTGGTTTAGCTGGATGTTCATCTTTCTGAAAATGGCATCTATATAGGTATATATTGATCCATAGCCGAGCCATTATGGCCAAAAAAACATTTTGTTGACAAACAACAGCTGTAGTATGGTTGCGATTAAAGCCTCTAGTTTGTGCTGGAGAACTCTATCACTTGGATTTAAAACCAGAGGTAAAACTGAAAACAGTAAATATAGCTGCTGATAAATTGGGCTCCAATTATCATGTGCTTGGGAGCTCCCCCTTGTTCATAGGGAATATGGATAGTCATAGCTCTTGGCATCTCTCTTGATCACTGGATAGTGGTCCGCGGTCAATTCCCCATTGTTTCACTGATTAGCAGACGGGGAAACTATGCCAGGCGAGCTTACAAGATGCAAAAAATGCACTTCCAGGTCGGGGTTTACAATGGTTCATCTCCACGGTTTCTTGAAAAACATCCTAAATGTAGGTTGTCTCCACCAAAACAACATGGGTTGAACCATTGAAATAAATCGAAACGACTCCGTATCTGACTTTCAATGTTCCAACAATTCCGCGGATCCAAATCGTCAGATTATCATATTTATCATTCTCAGTTGTTTTTTTTCCAAAAAGCTGCGGATATGTCATATCGAAAAGCTATGAAAATCTTCCGATGATCCACAGAATTCCACGCCTTCACTGAAAATGGCTCCGAAAACGCCGTTGACGCAGCTTTCGACGCGGGGATTTTTCGCTCTGGGCTGTTCTCCTGAGGGCCAGCTGTGGGTAAAAGGACATGGAATGGTTGAAACAAACCATTGACAATAATTAATTGGTTTCACTGTAGTTCAATGGGTGAAGAAAGGGTTAGTTAATGATGGTTATTTATTTGGGATTATAATATATATATAAGGGGGTTTCCATAAATGGGGGTACCCCAAATGGATGGAAAAAAACAATCTATAAATGGATGAGAACTGGGGGAAAAAATATAGGAAACCCTAACATATTGTGTCGCATAACCACGTTTATAGACATTTACTATCCATCTATAATCATCTATAATCATCTATAATCATCTATAATCATCTATAATCATCTATAATCATCTATCATCATCTATCATCATCTATAATCATCAATCATTTATACTATTTATAAACTAGCTCCATCGTCTTTAGAGATTCCCAGGCTAATCCAACATTGCTGGCGCCAGCCAGCCATGCGAGGTTTCCACTAGACCTATAGGAATTAAATTGGCAGCCGCTGTCCATTAAAAAAAAGTATGTCGTATTACCCAAGGATTTGAGTTGTCTCAAACATCCTAATATAGATTCCCTGTTTCAGGTGACTCTTGTCTTCCCCTAACAACAACTTTACTGATGATTTACCAGCCAGCCATGTGTTTGTGAGTCATCACAACATCGGAATTAACAATAAGAATAAAATAATAATCGATGAAAATAGTGCAATAGTAACAAGAGTAGATAATATTTCAGCACTACTATTATAACCAATATCCATGAATATATAGGTAATATTATCAAGTTGTCATCAAAATTACCAATTAATAGGCAATAATACTGCGTATAATATGTGTTGATAATGTCAAGTCAGGATTAATCAACCCCGGCCGATCAATCAACCTCCGCTGCCCCATTTTTTTAATAGTTTAAAAACAGGTGGTCCCCCCGGATTAGTAAACTCTTTTGCCTGGACCTGATTAATCAACCTCCAGTGCTGAAATCCATTTTTTTATTTTCCAACTCTCTTCATTTTCAAATGGTTTCCTTATCTTAAGTTGAAACCTCATGAACACCAGAATCCATCACTGCTGATCATTGAAAATTTGAAAAAAACAACAACTATTCCCCAAATGATTGATTTCTAATTAAATTGTTGATAAAAATCATCAGTTTGGATAGCTCCCAAAGGGTACCCCCCATGAGCCCATGTTCCCCATTAATAATAACCAGAGGGTTCCCCTTATTAATCAACCCCTTCCAAGGGGGCGTTTATTTAGGGGGAAACTACGAAAGACCTTACAAGGTCCATCTGGCCTTGTGGGGGGGTTATTAATCAATCCGGTGTTGCCACTATTTGATAACATATTAATATAAACACCATTCATTAAACACCCATCCATAGGATCTTGCAGCACAAAATTTCTACCCAGCAACCATAGCTCTTCTCCCTTTGCCGCCGAACGCCGCGCCCTTGCGCCAGATTCGCCGCCGAACGGCGCGCCGGAATGGCATGGCTGCGACGATACAGCTGACGGTGGGAATCACGCAGGATAACAATGGAGGCCCCGTTGTTAACACACAGGGTCATGTCGAAAACTGAAACGCAGTCTGGGTCTTCTGGCCTTCTTTTGTTCAACCAACTATATAATTTAATATCTGGATTATTTTTATTGATCAATGGACAAATCCTCAAAATCTGGAAATCAACTAATTACTTGTAGAATCAAATTTGATGATTTCCATTGATTTCCTACCCATAGCATCGAGGACATAAACGAGGACTTCCTCTGCCGAAGCCACGCTGGTGGCTCCTTGAGCTACAGGCAATTCAAAAGTGGCCATGTCTTTTCAGAAACGTTGGTGCACTTTACTGCATTTACTCTATATTATATCATGTATACTGGTATATATGTATATTAAACATGTCACACACAGGGAAACAGGTTGGGAAAACAGTGGGTCCAAAGAGACAGGTCTGGAGTACGATGGATTCATAGTATATGTACATTTTCTGAATTTGGGTAACTTGGAGCTAGAAGAATCGTATTTTTAGGTGGGTGCGTCCATGATATTTATACATCCATGACATCCCCGCACATCTTGTGGCCGTCCCATACATACGTGGGTAGCTACTTCAAGGTGACTGCTCTGCTCTGAACTCCTCAAAAAGATGCCGAAAAGTGATTTATCACTACTTTAGAAAAAAATCTCAGTAGGATTTTATCTTTCGATCTTTTTTGGGGTTTTGCGAACAACAACAGGTTGATGTTTCGATATGTCGAACCTCAAGGGATTCAACTTAATTCAACCCAGCCTCAGTGCTGGCTTCAGAATCCCATGTTTTTTTATGGCCCGTTCCATCAGAGTTCCCATCTGCCAACGAAAAAATTGGGCACCTGAGCGACTCCCTGAGGGACTTGACAGCTGTGACTTGTCCCGAACACCCGAATTGTGCGCCATGTTTTTCGTTGGCTGAAATTTGCCGAATCGCTAACTGCTGGATGTATAGCAGAAGGCTTTCCATCCCCGGTTCCCAACATGGATTTGTCCAACGTGGACCATGGTATACCACACCAATTCCCGGGGTATCTCATGATGTTCATCGGGTAAATCATGGTAGAATTCTGATCCCGGAATTGTCTGGCCGTTTTTTTTTTAATCTGAGAATTCCATGAATTTTCGCAGTGTTCAAAACCCTGGTTGCTTGATGATTATAGGGGATTACACTACCCAATAGGGGAATCCATATTAACCAACCAGTATAATTGGCAGTACCATCACCAAACTTCCCACCCACCAGGGTCCCCGTTAGGGTTCCCCTGGGGTCCCCGGGCTTGGGATGTTCGCAGTTTAAGTGGAGGTTGTGGCCTTGAGAGGATGTGATTTGGATGATGGGTTGGTCTTGTTTGGAAAAGTTTCACCGGAAACCTTGTTTTTTTTTCCCAAGAAATATGGGGTTTTCCTGTAGATGTTCCCGAAAAAAAAACAATCCAATGAGACTTGGAAGATTTTGCCAACCAAAAAAAATTACATGCAACTGAAACAACATCTGATTTGAAGTTGACTGATCATCATGGGGACTACATTGCACCACCAAAATCGAAGACACCAGTAAATTATATACCACAATTACATCTATATCGATCTATCTGTCTGTTCTATCTATCAATTCTATCTATCTATCTATCAATCAATCAATCAATCAATCTGTCTATCTGCCTTTCTCTGTCTATCTAGTTCTATCTATCTCTATCAATCTCTATCTGTCTTTTTCTATCTGTCTTTTTCTATCGGTCTTTTTCTATCTCTGCCGATCTCTATCGATTTCTGCCTATCTCTATCTATCTCTATCTATCTCTATCTATCTCTATCTATCTCTATCTATCTCTATCTATATCTATCTAGCTCTACCTATCTCTATCTCTACCTATTCGTATCTCGATCTATATCTATCTCGATCTATCTCTATTTCTATCTATATATATATATATTTCTATCTATATCTATTTATCCCTACCTTTCTCTATCTCTACCGATCTCTATCTCTATCTATAGCTATGGATGTCTATCTATCTATCCATCGATCCTCTTATCTATCCATCTGTCTATCTAATCTAATCGAATGCAAATGTTCTATCTAACTATCTATCACTATCTATCATTATCTATCATGATCTATCATTGTCTATCATTACCTATCATTATTCGTCGTTATCTATTGTTATCTATCATTACCTACCATTATCTATCATTCTTTATCAAAATCTGATCTATCATAATCTATCATTATCTATCATTATCTATCATCATCTATGATTATCTATGTTTAACTATCATTATCTATAGTGATCATGATCTATCATTATCTATCAGTATCTATCATTATCTATCATTATCTATCATTATCTATCATTATCTATCATCTATCATTATCTAAAACTGTCTGTTCATCTATTCCATTATCTATCCATCTATCCAACTATCTGTCCATTTATCTCGTTATCTATCCATCTATCCCTCGATCCCACTATCTGTCCATCTATCCCTCGACCTACCCATCTATATCTTTATATATATATATATATATATGATTCATCGGTTTACCCCAATATCAAGCTCCTGGACACTCACTTTTAGAGCTACAGACTATTGTCACAGATGATACCAATCCCTTCCCCCTCGTTGGGGTCTGTGCCGGGTTTCTTCATGTATCAGACTCCCATGGTTCTAAAGAGGGGTTCGTTTTCTACTTGTCTCCACAGCTCCTGTCCCCCAATACCCCAAATCGTGCACATCCCACGACACCCCGATTTTGTTCAGAGGGTTTATACATACAATTCATCATTTCAAAGGTCTAACCGTCTAACCCTAAGATGAAAAATCATTTCCCCCCCTAGAATTCCAGAATCATTGGTTTACCAAACATGGTATATTTGAAACATTATATCCCATTATCCCACCATGTTGCTTAAATCCCAGTTTTCCTGATGTTTTCTGAACCCAGTTGTGGCTGAGTACAAAAACAGGGCCGAGTGCCCACGCTGAGTAGTGTCATGATCAACTTGGATGCCTCCAGAATGACCTAAAAGGCCGCGATGAGGCCGTGGGGTCCGGGTGAATAAAACTCAGAGTCAGCAATCTTTGCAGGCACAAACCGATATTTGGGCAACGCATGGAAAATGGGTGGTTTATGGGGAGTAATTATGTTAGTATCGTGCGACTGTCATGATTTTAGTGTAAAGGGTTACAGGATAAATTTAGTGTATGTTCCAAAAACCTCTGATGTTATTTTTGATGTCAGGGGGGTTCTGGTATTTTTTGACTAAAACTTTAACCTCGATATTTGGTTTGAATGAGGGTGGGATTTGTTGAACTTTTTGTGATTTATGTTGCATGTTGGCTTTGGGACTCGTGCATGCTCTATTTCATATAGATATATGTATGTATATATATATACATAAATAAAAGAAAAAGTAAATAAACAAATGTGTATATATATATAAACAAATCATCAGGCTCAGATCACTACCCAAGTTTCTATTCCATCCCTGCACCTTGTTCAAGGACAGATTTTGTTGTTTCGCAAGTTTGAGGTACTGTATATCAGTATATCGTTTAGTTTTGTTATGTTTTGCTCATCCACTGCCATTCATCCCCAGATTATTTACAGTAAATGCGGTCGTAAGTCTATGTAAACCCTGCAAACCCATGTTACCAAATCATTGTCAACCAAACTACGCAAACCATTTGCCGTTGGGGGTGACAACTGCTTTCCATTCATTATTTGCTGGAAAGCACATCCCCCCAATGTACCCCCAAAAAAACAGTTGTTTGCGGACATCTTTGGACCTGAATGTACAACAAATGGGCATTGGACATCTCACAATGGAAGTTTTATGTGAGAATTTACAGCAAAATTGCCGCGGCCCAGATGGAGCACCCTGATCTAACCCCGGCCTTACTGTAACACTTACCGTAAGAATCCCTCAGTGTGGACACACTGTTTGGGGAAAAACGCAATTGGAGAGACTGGAGGCGTCAGCGGGCTGGTGGTGAAACAAATTGCTAAACTAAAACTTACCGTCTGGTTATTTAACATAGCCATGGAAAATCACAATTTTTAATAGGTAAACCATCTATAAATGGGCCATTTCCCGTGGCTATGTTAAATAATCAGAGGGTAATAGTTATGACAAGGTGTATGTAAAGTTAACGAGAACAACCAGCCTGAAACGAGTCTCATTACAAGGACTTTTTTTGGATAACGTGAACTGGACTAATGTGAAGTTTCGCTCATCCAATCTTGATATAGACACTTTTGGTTATTTATAGATGATTTTCCCATTAAAACCTCCATTTATAAGGGATTATCCATGGCTATGTTAAATGACCAGATAACATCAAAGTGCTCTTTAAACCTTGACACAAACATGATGCGAAACGGTCAATCCTCTATAGAAGGGCTAAGGTGAAAAGACCAGGTTTCAAGGAACGAACTTGAAGATGGAGATGACTACCACATGTTTATATCAAAGCTTCTGATCGACTGATAAGAAGCTAAACCAAGAAGAACGCACTCTTAATCATCACTGCTTTCACATTTTGGACATGGATTTTTCGCAGAAGAACTATATACTGAATGAACATCCCATGAAAAGGGATGCCAGTTCAAACACAGAGCATTGAACTGCGCAATGAGGTGGACATAATCATGTTCAAAAACCATTGAAAAAGTTGCAAGCACACTTCGTAATCTATGCTGACTTAAAATGTTTCACGGCAAGGACAGCGACAGTTAACTAAAGAGTTGAAAACTGACAAATACCAACATCATAGACCTTGGGGTTTTAGGATGAATATTGTCGATCCAATGCATGGTTCTTCAGATCCGTTCCTTTACAAAGAAGAAGATTGTATGGATGTCTCCAGTCAGAAGATTATTGAAGTCTAAACAAGATGTGGACAAGATGAACAGAAAAAAATGGAGTTATTTTAGGACAGCTCGGACAGCA